GCCCGCCCTCTGCCACCCGGGTGCAGTCCTAAGCCAGCAGGTCGTTATCTCCCAAGGGGTCCCAGACTGCGAGAGGGCACAGGCCGGGCTGAAACCACCCCCCTCTCCCCCTGAGTGCACAAGTTTTTGTGCACCGGGCCTCTAGTCCTATATAATAGAAGGCTAATAGGCAAATGGACCAGTCGCTATGATGTGCACTCAATGCAGGAGCTGCCCCCTGGTGGTCAGTGCACTCGCACAGGGAGAGTGCTGCTCAGCTAGAAGCTGGGCTCACAGCTGGTGAACACAGCAGCAGTGGCGGGAGCCTCTCCCAGACTGCAAGAGGGCGCAGGCCAGGCTGAGGGACCCCTCACTCCCAGTGCACAAATTTCATGCACCAGGCCTCTAGTACAAAATAAACAGTTTTTATTGGTCAAAACTAATTGAGTTATCCTTGACACCATCCCTGACCCCAGTTTTAGATGAAGTAAGGTACTCAGGTTTGTACTAAAATCTCAGACACAGTTACCTAAAATCTAGGCCACAACATGAATTGTCAGTATTAGCAGCAAGCCAGAGAAATCCCTGTCCTAATTTGTCCTGGGGCTCCTTGAAACTAATGAGCGACTTATAAGGGCAGCTGAGTATAAGTTGGGTCAGGTGGAGTCACATTTTAAGCTGGGGAATGTCTGGTTCTTGTAAAGGTGATAGCTCTTGTTATTGTCAATGTTGCTTGCATTGACCTTGCGGAATGATTATATTGCTGACTAGAGGTCAGCTTTGAAGTGCAGGCGTAGAAAGCAGTTTGGGATGCTTTATTCTTCTAGTGGGCACTTCGAAAACATGTTCTTGTAAGGCCAAACATTGGCCCAGAAACACAAAAATAGAGTCAGACCTGGAGTCTATGACCTCATTCTTTTTTTTTCCTGTCCCTTTGTTTATGACAACTATACATTGGAACCTCAGTTCTGAAACTTAATGCATTCCAGAAGGCTGTTCTAGAAGAGATTTGTTCTAAAACAAAATCATTTTTTCCCATTAGAGATAATGTAAATTGAATTAACCCATTCCAACTCTCCAAATGATTTCCTGTTTTAACTTTTCTTATCTATAGTTGAATATACTATTTAATTTACCAACAGACACTTAAATGTATCTAACTACCCTTTACTGGCCCTAAACAAATCACATTCAACACTCGGTCCAGGGATGTCTTTCAGGAAGTCAGGATGTGCCATCTTCACTTTTTCACATATCACTGCCTCTGAAATGCTGTCTGCTTTTCCTTTATCCAAATCAAGTTTTTCTACCTCTTCAGTTGCCTGTGGTCAGTGTTTCTTTCACGTCCTTAGCAACATTAGCACTCTTGATGGCCTCTTTATTTTAAAATTGTGCTAATGATTGATTTCACTAGCAAAAAAAGCATTCTCTCCTTTGTTTGTTGCCTGAGAGATGCTTATTGTCATGCTGAGGTATCAGCCTGAAAGGATTATCAGGTCTAAACCAAAGTTTGGTTAGAAAACTGAGTGTGAACTTGGTCAAGAACAAAATTGTTTGAGATGGGAGACATTTGAAAACTGAGGTTTGACTGTGTTCTTATGCAAATATAAAGCAAGTGCCCAACCACCACATTGACATCAATGTAGATATTTCAGACGATGAAAACCCAGGTATTTCCAGCAAGTTTCCTTATGTACAGAAAGGGTGTGGCTAGATGCGGCTGATATTTTGGAGTTGAAGGTGTTGTTGTTTTTATAGATTTGTTTGCAGAAATTGAGTGGAGGGAAGTAGCTGAGGGAATTGATTTTATGTTAGTTTTTACGAGCTTTAGAAACAATTATACCTGGTAACCACATGATAAGTGTGACAAAGACTTGAAGTGTTCAGTGAATAGGAGATTTTGAAACTTGAGATAGTACCTTTGGTGAAGATGGTGTCCCCACAGGCTATACCATCAACAATGGTGACTGAAAAATCAGACAGAGGCCGAAAACCAGGACTACAGGCTTTATTAGAGGAGAAGGACCTGCCGGGCTGTCTCGCAAGGGGAGGACAGCAGCACGTGCAGGGGTGGGCATGCCTTTTGAGGGGCGGAGTGGGAAGGGGTGGGGGCTTAGTGTACTTGGCGCACACTGATTGGTGGCTTACTGCATTGTCCATATAGGACAAGGGCTTAGGGCATTTGGCAGGTGTGGATTGGTGGTCCAATGTATAGTCCATATAAGGCACATGATTAGTCACTCAGGTATTTCCGGGCTGCAGGTTACGTCATACTCTGCCCACCAGTTGGGGGAAGGGAGGATCTATCATTCCAGGCTTTTGGTAATAGTAAAAAAGTTGAGAGTCTGGGCAAGGTCAGGGGGTGAAGGTCCGTCTTCCATAGCTACATCCTGCTGAGAAGGGACGTCGTCAGGGGCATCTACCTGGGGTCTCAAAGATTCCCATGACATAGGTGTCTCTAGGTTCTGAATTCAAGACAAGATAGATCTCTCCCACCTTTTGGTTGGCGAATGCCTGCATTCTGTTCTGCAAAAAATCTAGTGAAACAGCGTATGAGACAGGGGCCAAAGAGCAAAATTAAAAAAATACACACCAGAGA